TGTTCGCGACACCGGTTTTGACAACGGGAAAGCGTCACCATGTGCGTTCGCTCATCTAGCGCGGCGAATCTGGCAAACGGTTCATGGGGGCGAATTTATTTGATTGGGCAACGGCATGAACATTGACTGACTCGAAGGAGAATTCAAACTGCAATCCGAAGTCAAAATTCGGGAATGGAGCCAGGATGGGTTATGGCACGAGGCGCATGCCGAGGCATTCGTCAGAGATTTCGCTTGGGGCGATACAATGCGAGCTGTGCCATGCCAGGTGACAAGCAGATTTGCGGAGAAGAAGATGATGACCCCCTACCAAAACACGAAGTTGAGAAATACCAAGCATCAGTGGATCGAGCCAACTATCGGGCACAAGACCGCTCAGACATACAGTATTCGGTGAGGGAGCTTGCACACTCTACCTCAGCTATGGCCCAAAGGGGTTTGGAAAATATTCGCGGAGCTGGGGAAGTTCCTCATGAGCCGCGACGGGCGTGAATGCCAGTACTGGTACCAGGAGCGCCCTCAGGAGTTAACACTGTGGACCAACACGTAAAAGGATACGCACATAATACAGGTATATCAACAAGTGGAGGAGCAGTTGTGTCTGGTTTGCACGTGGTAAGGTCATGGAGTTTGACGCAGAGCGCAGCGGCGCTACCATCTTGAGAAGCGGAACGTGATGGAATGATGCAGGGTGGGTCAGTAGCATTAGGCTTACATGCAGTTTCCACAGATTTCGCCGTAGATGGCAGTGTCGCGTTAAAGAGCGATGCTAGCGCGGCCGTTGCCATTGCGAGCAGTCGCGGCCTGGGAGCAGGCGCGTTGATGTTTGTCAGTTTTGGCTACAAGACAAGGTACGACGAGAAGGCATCACATGAATCAAATCAGGTGCAGTCGAGAATGTTGCAAGCGCTTGAACCAAGTATGTTACCAGGCACGATCCGTCCATGTATTTGCGAGGCACCAGCCAACGCAATGTTGGCGGACGGCGCGAGTTGGCGCGCCTACGGATTGTTGACCCCGACCAGTATCCGAGCTATCATTGCGTGCCGTTGTGGCACAGACTTGGGCTTAGGATCTGTTGAGATCCAGGTGCTCGTCTACGCACACTTCAGATTATGCTAACCGTGCTGCGCGACTTAGAGCTTTGCTGCAGTTAAGAATAGTGTATCGCGTGCTAGGATGCCTTGCTGTTTGACGCCCAAAACATTCCAGCCTTTGGCCTGCGCCAGTTATGCCTCCAAGCACTTTGCATGTATACCGCCACGGTGCATAGTATAGCTTCTATCTTAAACAGTCGTAAGTATATGTTGGCTTACCTTTCTAAACGTCCATATCATGTTGTTCAATCCGGTCCAACTCGCGTGAGATGAACACTGCACCTGTCGCCTCTCGCGGCTCAAATATGTCGTTTGTTTGGGTGCGTGCGTATGTTAGAACACGGCAGTACGATCGGGTGGGGAGCAGGTGTTTTGCAATTTCATCTGGATGCGCAATCTCACTACATGGGATTGCGGTTTTGTTTAGCGTTGTGCGCAGCAGACTGTCGAGGAGCATCATGGTTAGTTCTGGGCCCATTTGAGGGGATGACGATCCTCCCCCTTTTTTCGTTTAGTTCAAGTGATGTTTTCGTTCGGGGGGGGAGGATGAATAGGAGGAGGAGGAACAGGAGGAGGAGGGGGAGGGGGAGGAGGAGGAGGAGGAGGAGGAGGAGGAGGAGGAGGAGGAGGAGGGGGAGGAGGAAGAGGAGGGGAACTCGACCATCCCAGCCCTTCGACCGGCCACCGAGGAGGAGGAATCGATTCCATGCTTTTGACCTCCTTGGGGTTCCGAGGGGAACCGCGCCGTTGCGGCGGTATCGCCCCCGAAATTCCCCCTGGTCAGACGCCGTTATCGGACAGTCGGGGAATGAGGGGCCGCGAGTATAATATTGAGGACAAGAACGATTTGGAACCCGCATAGCAAGGGAGGACAAACCACCCCGATCTTGGTAATTGACGTTTGCTACACGGCCCTGGGTTTTTACTGAACAGCAATGCCGTGTTCAAGTCTTTTCTTTGGGTGCTTGTTATGAGGGTGGATTTTCTGCTCTCTATCATCTTCGTGAGGACGGCTGTGAGGTAAGGCTCTCCGCGGTCCTTCCTACTCGTCCTCTGCCCCAGCGGGTACTCCTCCTCCTCCTCCTCCTGCTCCTCCTCTTCCTCCTCCGCCTCCTCCTCCTCCCATCCGCCTCCCCCTCCTCATCCCCCTCCTTCCCCTATCCTCCTCCTGCCATCATCCCCCTCCTCCTCCCCATCCACGGCTCTCTGAGGGCGTTCCTGTTTGGCTTCCCCCTCGCAGAAAGACCACCGTTGACTGTAAATCTATTGCGCTGCAACCAGTGCAACACAACGGCCACGGTTGCGAACCAAAACGTCACACGGCGAAGCAAGTCAAATGCAGTGCACTGCAATGCGGTTAAACACAGTTTTAAACAATGTACGGCAACACAGAGCAATGCAAGTCGTAGCATCTGAACTCAGCTACAAATTACAGCAGTGCAGTGCAGCAACTTTAATGTTAGCTTGCTGTTGGTGGATTACGTTGCACAGCAGCTGGTCCAGATGCTGGCCATGATGAGTCGGCATAAACACGCGGCACTTGACGAGGCGATGCCGTTGTTGGTGGGACGCGCGAGGTTCATCTCATGGTAGAGGGCCGCGCGGGCAGGCATCGTGGCGCGTCGAGGGAAACGATCGCAAGCATGGCCAGCAGCGTGCAGGATCTGCAAGCCACGTTGTCGGAGTCCTTGGCATCGCTCGGACGTGTGCATTTTTTCTCGGCGAGAACCATCGAGGACCATCCTGGACCATCGAGCAAAAAAAAAACACGCACGAAACCGAACAATGCACGGGAAATGGACGTTCGAGCGACGGCAAGAAAGCATGGCCAGCAGCGTGTAGGATCTGCAAGCCACGTTGTCGGAGTCATGTTCATCTTGCATCCTGGCAGCCTTCTCTGAGGATACGGGTTGTTGTCAGGAGGGGAAGAGAACACACACACACACACACAGAGACACAGTGAACCGTCGGCTCCCAGGAAAAAATGAGAAGATATGGGAAGTGGGGGGGAAGACACAAACCCAGAACATGTGGGGAATCCTGTTGTGTGTGTATGTCTTTGTGTGTCCCAGGGCCCCTTTCATGTTGGCTCTGGACCCCCGCAGCCATTTTGGCCCGAGGGCGCTTCTCGCGCGGACCCAGCAGCCCGCGCAGTCCATGCACGGCCCAGGCCGGCCATGCCACCCAAGCGCGCCGCGCGCGCGTCCAGGGGGCCACATGCGAACCCCACCCCTCGGGAGCTCCCGAGCGAAGTGAGCCCCGCCCTCCCCCTCAGAAGTGGCCCCATCATCATCATCATCATCATCATCATCATCATCCTCATCATCATTCATCATCATCATCATCACCATCATCATCACCATCATCATCATCATCATAATCGTCATCATCATCATCATCATCATCACCATCATCATCATCATCACCATCATCCTCATCCTCATCATCCTCATCATCCTCATCATCCTCATCCTCATCATCATCCTCATCACCATCATCATCATCAGCATCGTCATCATCGTCATCATCATCATCATCATCATCATCATCATCATCGTCGTCGTCATCATCATCAGCACGATCATCATCATCAATATCATTATCATCCTCATCCTCGTCATCTCCATCATCATCATCATCCTCATCATCATCATCATCATCATCCTCATCCTCATGCTCATCCTCATCATCATCCTCCTCATCCTCATCCTCATCATCCTCATCCTCATCATCCTCATCATCCTCATCATCATCCTCCTCATCATCATCATCATCATCATCATCATCATCATCATCATCATCATCATCATCATCCTCATCCTCATCCTCATCATCCTCATCCTCATCCTCATCCTCATCCTCACCATCATCATCACCACCCTCCCCCTCATGCGAACCCCTCCCCCTCCCCCTCCGAAGCCCGTGGGGGGTAGGGGGCATACGGTCCGCAATGTGGCCCCCTGCGCGTCGCCCCCGCCCCAGCTGGCCCAGGGGCGCCCGGCGCGCCCCGCCGACCTCCTCTACACGCAGCTGCGCAGCCTGCGCCGGGTCCTGAAGCGGCCGGCGGCGAAGAAGGCCGGCTATGCACGCGAGGACAGGACGCCTCCTCCTCCCCCTCCCTCCTCCTCCTCCTTCCCTCCTCCTCCTCCTCCCTCCTCCCTCCTCCTCCTCCTCCCTCCTCCTACTCCTCCTCCTCCTCCTCCTCCTCCCCCTCCTCCTCCTCCTCCCCCTCCTCCTCCTCCCCATCCTCCCCCTACACCTCGAGCGAGGCATGAAGAAATCATGGCGGACTGTTTTTGTTGCTGTTTTCGGCACCTGGGGGGCCTTACCGGGCCTCGGGGCCTGCAAAGATCGACTCCGGATGAGAAGAAGCATGGAAAAATCACGGCGGCGGACGGTTTTCTGCTGTTTTCGGCGCCTGGGGGCCCTTGCCGGGCCTCGGGGCCTGCAAATATCGACTCTGGACGAGAAACGGGTCCCGGGGAATGGGCCCGGACCTCTGGGGTTCGCGTCGTGAACAAGTCGCGTCGTGAACAAGTCATGACGTCGGGGGTCTGGGGAGTGACCCTCTGCCGGAGTGGCCTTTGGTGCGGGCTCACGGACTGGGGTCTTTTCGATCGTTGAGCGCGGTCCGACAGTGGCTGCTTGCGCGCCTGGGTTTGGTCACCCTGCGCCCCCTTAGTCGGAGGTTGACAGACCTCCTACCCTGACACGTTGATGAGAGGGCGTCGCGGCCGTCATTTTGCGGGTCCAGGCCCGTCGGTTTCGGCCCTAGGCCGTTTTCACTAAAGGGTGGTTTACTAAAGGGAGATTTGTCCACCGCCGACTTAGTCCGCGCACTAAAGGTCACTCTTCCTTGCTCGTAGCCGAAGAAGGGCCCGCGAGCGCACGCAGCGGGGCGCGCGGCCGACGAGGCCTGCGCGCCACCAGCGGCGGCGGCGGCCAGAGCCGCCGCGGCGGCGCAGGCGCGCGGTGATGATCGGGGGCTCCTGGCTCGCCGCCGCGCCGCGCCGCGCGCAGGGCCAGTGCTGATGATCCAGGACCCCTGGCCTCCCAAGATGTCAGAGGAGGGAGAGGTAAGTACCCACACTTCTCATTACCCTTCCCTCCTTTTCCCCCCGTGGGGCCTCCCGGGAGGCCCTCGTCGCCACCGCTGGATTCGCTTCGAGGTTCTGGTCAGAACGCGCCCCGGGAGAGGCCTGTGGAGATGCGAGATGCAGCATCGGTCAGGGCTGGACCTAATTAAACGGTGTGTTTTTGGTGCTTTAGTGGGCCGTTCTCGTGTCGACTTCGTGCTGCTTGCGGTAGAGGAGGGTTCGAGGCAAACGCGAGGGACAACGAACAACAACACGAAGCCGAAAAGCACCGTTTAGGCTCAGCCCTGGTATCGGTACCCTTTGGTTCCCCCAAGACTCGGCTACACACGAGAGCGACCCGCCGCCATCGTGACCTCTGGTGCGGGCGCAGCGGGGCCCCCAGCCGGCCGCCCGCGCTGCCACCGCAGTGCTGGGCGCGAGCTCGGGCCTGGCCGCCCGGCGGCTCCCGGGAGTTGCGCACCAGAAGTCGCCCTTGCCTAGGGTTAGGTCGGGCGCTGTCCCTCTACAGGAGAAAGATTCCCAGATAGTAGAAAAAGAGTCAAGGGACGATTTGTTTTGACTATTCTTGCCTACGTCGGAGTATTTTTCGACCATCTCGAATTTTTCGTCCAGAACCTGCCTGTGGGGGGACATGCCCGACCTCAGCCTAGGGTCACTCTTGCGTGTAGCCGACACATGGGGCTGGAGTACAGATGGGGCCGGAGGATCGCGCCGTGTCGCCGATGCATCGGCGGTGCGGCTCGGCTTGGAGTCCGACCCCGTCTGGCCACGGACTCCCTTCTGGGATGCCTCCAAGGACGCCCCGCGGGATGCAGCCCAGGGGCACCGCGCGGTGGACATCGTGCGTGGCGTAGCGGCGCCCACGGCGGAGTGGCGGTCGGTCCCCCCCGGCGTGCCCTGCCCCAGGGGCTGCGAGTACCGCATGGACCTGACCACCGGTCTCAACCTCGTGCGGCTGTCCGCGCCCGTGGACCTGACGGGCAGCAGCGGCTCGTCGCTGGCGCTGGTGCGCGCGCCGGACAAGGCATCGGCGGCCCGGCGCATCACTTCCAAAGCCTCTGGAAGCGGCGAGAAGGCGCCCGCCTCGCGCGCGCTGGCCAAGGCGGCGCTGGCGCCCGCGCCGCAGGTCAGCAAGCCGTCGGGAGCTGTGCTGTCGGCCGGCAGCTCGAAATTCAAGGCCCGCGCCCGCCCACAATCGATCGGGCTGCCCTGCCCGTCGAATCTGCCACCGAGCTTGAGGGCCTGGGGGGGTGGAGGGGCTTGGAGGCACACGTGCGAGGGGATGCCTGGGGGTTACAGTATGTCTGTGTGTGTTGTGTGTTGTGTGTTGTGTGTTGTGTGTTGTGTGTTGTGTGGTGTTGTGTGTGTGTGTGTGTGTGTGTGTGTCCCGCTGGCGCTCTCGTTTGGCGCCGCCATCCGCCCCTCGCCGCCCTCCGCCACTGCCCCGTGAGGGGCTGGCGCTTCCCACCTTGCACATGCTTGCTGCCAAGGGTCGATCCTTGGGAGCCTCGCTTAGCCCGACGTTAGCCCGACTCGACTCGTGATTGGCCGTGCGCGCGTCCGAAGAGTGCGTGTGGGTGTGTGTGTGTGTGTGACTCTCGCTCGCACTACCAATTTTGGTGCTTGCAGTGTTCGGAATGGCTGGTGGCACAATTTACGCGCGCTGCGTTTGACGCTGCCACGCGACGGGTGACAAGCGTCCCATTGCCCTGCGTCTCCGGCATTTTGTTGTCCACCCCACCCATGTTGTTGCACGGTGTATTGATTTTGATCACATCTGTCTGTTCTTACAGGTGATTGGTGCGACAGGTAGCTTTTGCTCGCAGGTTTCGCGTCACAAACATTTTCATGCACCTCTTTTTCGGTGTTTGATGTATCGGGCCCGGCTGGTGACGGTGCCAAGCGTTGTGGATTGCGGCTCACTCATCGGCTGCTGGCGTTGATCAATAGGTATGTCATCACCTTACCAATCTGCCGCGCAGGCCCGCTGGGTGGGCCACGCCACCAATATGCCGAGCAGCTATTTTATTTTGCGCTTCACTGTCTAACACCGCTCTGGTGATTGAGTGGCCGCAATTATCTTCGGGTTGTCGCGCTTCATATTATTTTGAGTTGAGTTTTCCTCGTCGTCTGGCCGCTGCATGTTTCGTTTGGACTCACAGCTACTCTAACACACCCATCGCTTGCATTCTGCATTTTCACGTCGCCTGTACGCTGCGCTATCGACGAGGTGCTGTCGCACTTCGCACTCCCATCTGCTGCTCGAGCTTGAGGACCCTCTGCGCTGCTGACTTTCAAAGTGTGTGTGTGTGTGTGTGTGCTTCGCCTCATCGCCGCGCGCGATGCCGCGACCGCCAAAACATGTGTGCGTCTGTGTCGCCGCCCAGCTCGTCGGGCGGCGCCCCCCTCGCCCTTTTTCGGCGCCTGGCGCCCTCCTCGGGTCGATCACCGGGGCGGGGACTCTTTTGGGCTGCTCGTCGAGGCGCTGGTTCCTCAGGAGGCCAAAAAACACACAGACACAATTAATCGTCGATTCCCTAGAAAATATTGGAAAACATGGGAAGTGGGGGGGAAGACAGAAACCAAGAAAATATAGGAAAATATGGGGATTCCTATTATTCGTGTGTATTTATTTGTGTGTTTGTGGGCCCCTCCAGTTCCTGCCGACGCGCGCCCGCCCATGCTGTCTTGGCACGGCTGGCCTCCAGGGTGTAGCCTCTGGGCTGATCCCTCTGCCGGCGCGGGCGCCTGTCTTCTCTCCGCTCCGCGCCCAGGTTCTTTCGGCCCTGCCGTATCCTCGTCTGCTCGCCATCGGGGAAGGAGGTCCTGAGGGAAGCGGGTCCCGAGGGAAACGGTTCCTGAGGTTTTTTCCCGGACATGGCGGGGGCCCAGGGTTTTCGTCCAGTTCCCAACCATTTTGTGGTGTTGGGTCCTCGTTTTGAAGAGACAGCGCCCCGCGTTACTCCTCCTCCTCCTCCTCCTCCTCCTCCTCCTCCTCCTCCTCCTCCTCCTCCTCCTCCTCCTCCCACTCATTCCTCTTCTCATCATCATCATCATCATCATCATCATCATCATCAACATCATCATCATCATCATCATCATCATCATCATCATCAGCAGCAGCAGCAGCTGCAGCAGCAGCAGCATCGTCGTTATCATCATCATCATCATCATCATCATCATCATCATCATCATCATCATCATCATCATCATCCTCGTCATCATCATAATCGATATCGTCATCATCATCATCATCATCATCATCATCATCATCATCATCATCATCATCATCGATATCGTCATCATCATCATCGCCATCATCACCATCATCGTCGTCATCCTTGTTATCGCCATCATCATTATCGTCAGCATCACCATCCCCATCCTCATCATCATCATCATCATCATCCTCATCCTCATCCTCGTCCTCATCCTCGTCATCATCATCATCGTCACATCATCATCAGCAGCATCATCATCAGCCTCATCATCATCATCATCATTATCATCATCATCATCATCATCATCAGCATCATCATCATCATCATCATCATCATCATCACCAGCATCGTCGGTACACCCCTCACGATGATCGTGTCCCCATAGGGAGCTTCACCGAAGTTCCAGTGGCGCAGCCCGCATGCGTCACGCACACCCACTTCGGCACACCCTTCATACGTTTCGTGGCCCCATAGGGAGCTCCATCGAAGGTCCCAGTGGCGCAGCCCGAATGCGTCACGCACACCCATTTCGGCACACACCCCACACGTTTCGTGGCCCCGTATGGAGGCTCCACCGAAGGTCCCAGTGGCGCAGCCCGCATCCGTCACGCACACCCATTTCGGCACACCCTTCACACGTTTCGTGGCCGCGTAGGGAGCTCCACCGAAGGTCCCAGTGGCGCAGCCCGCATCCGTCACGCACACCCATTTCGGCACACCCTTCACACGTTTCGTGGCCCCATAGGGAGCTCCGCCGAAGGTCCCAGTGGCGCAGCCCGCATGCGTCACGCACACCAAGTTCGGCGCACCCCTCACACGTTTCGTGGCCCCATAGGGAGCTCCACCGAAGGCCCCAGTGGCGCAGCCCGCATGCGTCCGCCACACTAATTTCGGCACACCATTCACACGCATCGTGGCCCCATAGGAAGCTCTACCGAATGCACCAGCCACCGCCCGCATGCGTCCGTCTCATTCATTTCGGCACACCCCTCACACGTTTCGCGGACCCACAGGGAGTTCCATTGAATACGGTAGTTGCAATTGCGGTTCGCACAGCTGCACATGGTTGGGTCCTTCGCCAAGCTAATGTTGTTTTCCCCGGTGCCATGCTTGAAGGAAACCGGCGAAATTATTTGCGATAAATAACTCGGTAAAGTCCCATTCTGCGTTGAAAAAATGCGTTTCGCGCGTCTCGGGGAAAATGCGCCCCCCATGTCGGATCCTCGTTGCCTAATTGGGTCCGCAGAACCCCGCTTTCCCTTGTAAAAAAGAGGCTGCGGAGCGTTTTGCGCAGAATCCCCACTAAATGACGAGGTTTGGAGCCCTGACCGGGACACAAAAAACATGAAAACGTTAACTTGTTTTGCGTGCCGCTCGAGGATGGCGCATCCTGCGCGCAGAGATTCTGGGGATGTCTCAAGCGAAACGCTCGTGTTGCAACATTTGAGGGGCGTGGGCTCCGGGATGCTCAGGGGGTTCTGGGAGCACGAACCCAGCGTAATTTTCGAGGGATCGCGGCCAAATCCCGTGCAATTTACGAGGGCTCGGGGCCCTGAGAGCGCGGAGCCAGCGTCATTTATTAGGGATCGTGGCCTTGGGAGTGCCGGGGCTGCGTCATTTTTACGCGTCCAGGCCACACAGCGGGGGGATCCGACATGGCTGTCCCGAGCAAGGACCACGTGTTTGAACGTGTTCAGGCCACCCAGGGGTGTATCTAACATGGTTGCTCAGAGCTGGGCCTCTCTCCAGTCTGGGCCGCGATCGGGACTTGTATCCCCTGCCGGCCGTCCGGTGCCTCCACACAGACTTCAGTGACTTCATGGAACTTGGGAGGGGGAGGGTACGGGGGTTTGACTTGTCCCCTCTCTCTCTGTGTGTGTTTCTGCTGCCCTGTCAGGCTCCTTCAGGTTGTCTGCTTCTGCTGCCCCGTCAGGCTCCCTCAGGTAGTTTGCACATACTCCGTAGGTCCCTACGGCCACAACCATTCGGCCGCCTGTCCTCTCTCTCTGTGCTTCTCCTGCCCTGTCAGGCTCCTTCAGGTAGTCTGCTTCTGCTGCCCCGCCAGGCTCCCTCAGGTAGTTTGCACATACTCCGTAGGTCCCTACGGCCACAACCGTTCGGCCGCCTGTCCTGGCCGCTTCCCCTCACCCGCCGCTGCCCCGCGGCCGCTGACCGCCACCGCCCTGCGAGGGCCGGGCCACTTCCGTGTCTGGCCGGCCTGCCCCGTGAAGCCTCTCCGACGTCACGGCGAAAGCGCGTGTGTGTGAGTGTGAGTGCGAGTGCGTGTGTGTGTGTGTGTGTGTGTGAGTGTGTGTGTGTGTGTGTGTGTGTCAGTGTGTGTGTGTGTGCGCGAGTCTTTGGAGGAGTCTTCGGAGAGATTGCCCCAGAAGTGCTGATGCTAGTTGCGGGCGGGCCGCGGCCTGAGGCCGTGCACAGGGAGCACGCGGAGCGCAGAGTTTCAACGCTCAAGGACGGCACTTGGAAGGAGTCCAAGAAGGTCGTGAAGAGCCAGGCTCTCGTGGGTCGAGATGTCGCCGGCGGGGGGAAGTTCGGCGAGCAGATCACGTCCAGCAGGACGGCGACGGACGACGTCGTCGGCGGCGGCGACGACGACGACGACGACCACGACCATGACCACGACCACGACCACGACCACGACCACGACCACGACCACGACGACGATGACGAAGACGGCGGCGGCGGCGGCGGCGGCGGCGGCGGCGACGACGACGACGACGACGACGACGACGACGACGACGAGACCACGACGGAGACGACGATGGAGACGACGCGGCAGGCGGGGGTCGGTGACGGTGCAGACGATGGAGATCGCGATGGAGACGATGACTATCGTGACGACGACAACAACGGCCACGCAGACGACGACGAAGACGACGACGGCGACGGCGGCGACGACCACGGAGACCTACGCGGCAGGCGGGAGTCGTTCCGGAAGCTGGCCGACGGCAGATCGGTGGTCGTCGAGAGCATCACGGTGCGCAAGACCACCGTCCTCCCAAGCAGCGGGTAGGGGGCGCGCTCGGGCACGGCGGCTGGCTAGATGGGAACGTCGCCACTGCAAAAAGATTATCGCCGCCGTCATCGTTCGAAGATCGGGGACCGTCGTCCTCCCCTGCGCCAGGTAACAGGAGCCGCGCTCTGCCACTGCCATTCCTCGATGCATGGGCGCCTCCCGGCGCCGGGAGGCGCCAGGAAAATCAGTTGCCCGAGCTGATTCTCAAGCCCCCCCCCTTTGCTGACGAACGAGCAACACACACCCATACCCATAGGGGGGTCGTTGAGAGGAGGACTGGCTATGGGTATGGGTGCGGGTTGTCGGACCCTGGGAACGCTCCCGTTCGAGCGGGGACCCCCATCCGACAACACGCACCCATAGCCCTCTCCGACCCCCCTTATGGGTATGGGTGTGTGTTGTTGGTCCGTCCTTTGCTGTCCCCCCCTTTCGCCCGGCCCGAGCCCGCCGGGAGGAGGAGGAGGAGGAGGGAGGAGGAGGAAGTAGGAGGAGGAGGGGAGGAGGAGGAGGAGGAGGAGCCGGAGGATGAGGAGGAGAATGTTTGGAGGGGAGGATTGAGGAGGAGGATGAGGAGGCAGGAGGAGGAGGAGGAGGATGAGGATAAGAAGAAGGGCCAGGAGGAGGAGGAGGAGCGGGACAGACCGCCTCGCGCCGGCCACCCGCCCGTCGACGCGCGGCACCGGCGCGCCCCCCCCCCCCCGGCCCGCGCACCTAGGTATTGGCCGGGGCCAAGCAGCCCCGGGGCGCGGCGAGCACGTCGTTGCGGCGGGGGCGGCGCCGGCGCCCGCCCCGGGCAGCTCCAGCGCGAAGAGGACGTTCCTCCTCCTCCTCCTCCTCCTCCTCCTCCTCCTCCTCCTCCTCCGCCTCCTCCTCATCCTCCTCCTCCTCCTCCTCCTCTCCTCCTCCTCCTCCTCCCCCTCCTCCTCCTCCTCCTCCTCCTCCTCCTCCTCCCCCTCCTCCTCCTCCTCCTCCTCCTCCTTCCTCCTCCTCCTCCTCCTCCTCCTCCTCCTCCTCCCCCTCCTCCCCCGCCTCCCCCGCCTCCTCCCCCTCCTCCCCCGCCTCCTCCTCCTCCGGAGCACCCTGGAGGATGGCGAGCGGGGGCCCCCAAAACGGGGTGGTGACCACACCGCGTGGCGAGTCGGTGGGGAGGCGGGGTCACCGCACGGTTCTGGGACCCGAGGCCCTCTCCGAGGACGCCTCGGGCGACAGGGGCCTCTCGGGTCCCAAGGCCGTGCGGTGACGGGCCGTGCTGTGTCTGGGGGGATTTCGAGGTCCGTCACCGCACCGTTTCGGGACTCCAAAGGAGAGGAGAGTCGAGGGAGGGAAGAGTCACCCGTACCTCGCACAAGTGGCGTTTGCGAATGAACCAGCCCTGGGCGTTCACGAAACGGCCCTGCCCTGCTCGATTCTTTCCCCGGGCGCGTTTACTGGACGGCTTCGCTTGTCGGGGTGTTTTTCTTTGGGATGTGGATTGACGGAGGCCCCCGAGATGTACAGTGCCGTTTTTTTTATACATGATCCGCGTGCGGATCATGTATTAAAAATGCAAGGATTTAGTATCACAAACAACGATGAGTTCAGGCATACATTCATTCATAAATTAATCACGCATCATTAAAATCCATTATTTTTAAAAATCCGATGTATTCAAAGCTGCCTTGTACCAGCAGCACACTGTTCGCACAGCTATGGGAAGCGCGGCCCACACAGACCGTCATGCCCCCCGTCGATCCGGCTCGTCCTCCAGCTCGAACTCCTGCATGGCAGTGGTACGGCATCCGCCCGTAGGCACGTAACGGAGTGTCCTCAAATCTCTCGGACCATCAAGACTTCGGGGGTGGACAGAACCCCCAACAGTGACACGTCGATTAGTGAATTGTCCGCTTTCGGTTCTCGAGAGGGCGCCGCGGCCGTTATTTTCAAGGCTTGCGCCCGCCAGGTTTGGGCCTCAGGTCGTTTTCACTAAACCACGTTTTACTAAAAGGAGGTTTGTCCACCGCCGAAGGATGGCTCAATTCTAAGAGCCCCGGACCTCCAACTTACGGAAGGATGAGCCTTGAAGGAGAGGACGAACCTTGAAAGATCCCCTCGGGACCATGATGGAGGAGGAGGAGGAGGAGGAGGCAGCATTCGACGATGCCTGCAGGATCCCCTCAGCACCACCCTCGAGGGACGAGAGGCTGCACGAGCGCAGGCTTCCGGTGGTCCGTGCGGATTCCTTGGGTCGGCGCTGGAGCCCCCGGGGCGCCGCCTTCGGCGCAGCCCCTGGCGCGCGCCTCGCGCCAGGGAGGGGTCGGGGGTGGACAGACCTCCTACCCTGACACGTCGATTAAGGAGTTGGCCGTTTTCGGTTCGCGAGAGGGCGTCGCGGCCGTCATTTTTGTGGGTCCAGGTCCGTCGGGTTCGGTCCCAGGCCGTTTTCACTAAAGGGAGGTTTGCTAAAGGGAGGTTTGTCCACCGCCGGAGGGGGGTCAGTCGCCGATCCAAGAGATCTGCGCAGACCTCCAACATGTCATGATCTCGCCGCTGTCCCAGAGGTCCGATGCCGTTCTTGTTTCATGCGCGGTCCCCGGAAGTCTCGACCCATTCCCTAGGAACGGTTTTTCATGTTGAGTCGTTTTCTGACCCTCTTCGGACCCAGCGAGGGCCCCCAGAGGCCGAAAATTGCGAAAAACCTCCGTCTTGATTTTTCAATGCGTTGGATTTCTGGGTCCGCATATCATACACCCAGCGTCCCAACAAAGACCGTGACGTCCGCCCTTCTCGGGACAGGTTTGGCTCCAGAGGCCCGCGGCAGGCCCAGGGGGGCACCACAGGAGCGAGCTCTGCGCGACCCCAGTTAGGGTAGGGGGGCAGCGCGTGCTGGCCAAAGGGTTATGAATGCAGTGCAGTGCCATGCCAAGTAGCAGTGGGTATGATGACGAGGAGGCAGAGTCGGAGCACCCCCTAGAGTCTGGGGGCGGCCCAGAGTCTGGACAGCACCTTTTTTCCATATGCGGTAGCACATACTAGGAAGTCATGGCACTCCAGCATGGCCAGGCTTAGCTTCCACATCGTTGTACAGCACTTCAGAGTGTGCATGATCGAGGTACGCATGACATGCAACACACACACCTATATATATATAGATATAGAGAGGGTCTGCATATGTATGTGTATAACAATATATATATATATTGAAATATCAAGGCGTGGCAATCCATATCGAGGCATACATAGCGGTGTGTGTCAGGGCATGGCACGGCATAGGAATGCATGGCATATCAATTCATAGCGGCGCATTTCATAGTACGGCATGGCATATTGTTGTGTTGCAGCTCTTTGCGACGCATTGCTTAACACAGTACTGCATCGGATCTCGTAGCGTTGCACAGCAGCTCATAGCGTTGCAACGCCTAGCATGGCATGCCACCGCAAGGCATAACATGTCATACCATTGCATGGCGCAGCGTGTCAGAACATAGCACAGCATTGCACGGTCGACCATGGCATTGCACATGGTTCTACAGTTTTTGATTGCTTGCCCAGCAAGGCAGAGCAAACCAGAGCCAGGCACAGCAAGGCACACACTGAGCACACCAGGCCAGCACAGGTCAAAGCACGAGAGGTCGAGCGCCCCCGAGCGACCCTCCGGGGGCCTGACCCGGGGAAACTTGGCAACCCCGGGTGCGCGTGGCCACCAACAGGAGGGAACAAAACACACAGACAGAATTCATCGTCGACCCCCCAGAAAATATGGGAAAGTATGAGAGGTGGGGGGGGGAAGGCAAAAACCTAGGAAATGTGGGAAAGTATGGAGAATCCTGCTATTTGTGTGTGCATCTGTTTGTGTGTCCCAGGGCCCCTTCGATACCAGGCCTTCCACTCGGCGCCCGCTCGGCGACGCCCCCGAAGGCAGGGCCCGCGCGAGGCACGCCGCCCCCGGGGGCGCCGCCCCGACCCCCCCCCCTTCTGCGCGCGCCTGCGCGCGACGCCCTCCGCGGGGGGCGGGCGTGCACCGCCGCCGTGGCCCGGCCCGCGGGCCGTCCCAGAGGGCTGGATGCGGACTCGTCGGGCTCGATGCGCTCCGGTCTGCATCGGTTCCGATGCCGATTCGGCGCGGCTCCCAAACGGGGTGGTGACCACACCGTGTGGTGAGTCGGTGGGGATTCGGGGTCACCGCACGGTTTTGGGACTTGGGTCGTTCTCCGAGGATGTCTCGGGCGACTGGAGCCTCCAGGGTCCCAAAACCGTGTGGTGACGGACCGTGCGGTGAGGTCTTTGCGGATTTCGAGGTCACCGCCGGGTCTGTCACCACACGGTTTTGTGACACCCAAGATTCGGCGCGGCTCTGGGTCCCGACGTGTGGGCTGCGGCTGCTCCACAGGGAGGCCTCACCGGCCTGGCGACTGCCGCCGCTGCTCGAGCTCTCGTCGGCCTGCGGACTGTCGCTCTCTGCCTCTCCGATTCGTTTCGATCGCCGATGCGACTCGTCGATTCGATCCTGGGCTCTCTTGCTGGGCCCCAGGATGCTGTACGGCA